CAACATTTTAATACTACAACAAATTAAATTTACATCTTGTATTTATATCTTGCTCTCCCTCAAGAAATTACTAAAAACTCTAATTCTCAGTGAGGTTTTCTTGGGACCACCTAAAATTACAGTCCTTAACCCACTCCCCATTGCCCTTTCCTCTCCTCCTCAACTTGCCAAGTACAAACCACAATTGTATTCTGCTTATTTCTTTGTATGTGTTTGCATTAAGTCACCTGCTTCCATTCTACTTAATTATATCTTTGATATTTTCCTCAAATAAACAAATTCTGTTTTTTCTCATTTGAAATTTCCCATATTAGGGGCACTCATTAGGAGCAAACATTTAAAAAAATCCCTATATAAAAAATTTGGAACACAGCCAACAAGGAAAAAAGTTTTCATAGAGATGGGGTCTTGCTATGTTGCCCAGGCTGGACTCCAACTGTTTTTGACATAAATATTAAACTATGGTTGTATAATGAGTATGAGACACTTAAAAAATTTTTAAATATTCAATGCTTTCAAAAAGTATTTGAAATATGGAATGTTCTCTTTTTAAATTTGCCTTTAGCAATATACTTTAAGGAAATGAGAAAATATAAATACTAAAAGAGGAGGTGTGTATGTGCTACCACAACTCATAGAAAACACACACAAACTAGGCAACAACAATAATATCTGATCAGTTAGTACAGTCATAATCTTTTTTATTACTTAACACGGACCGTGACTTCCTTTGTATATCATAAAACATGGATTCATGGCATCATTGCTAAAGGCTTCCATCAAAACCCACCAAAAATGATTGAACCATGCTTCATTGTTGTCCATTTGTTCATTTTCAAACAAATCTCTATTAAAAACACCTTCATGTTCATGCTGCAATAATTCGTGACTATCCACCCTGAGAGCTAGCTAGCCGAAAGAGACAAGTGTTGTTTATTGTTCTAAGGTTTGACACTTAGACCGAATGTCTCCGGAGAGTGACCCTTGCGAGCCAGGGACAAAGTGGACATCTGTGAATCTCACTCAGTGTGTCAGGTGGGGCCTGGGCTGGAGGGAGACTCCAGGTGTCTTGAAAAAGACTCTACACACAGGCCATCACGCTGTGGCCTGTCCTGTGATTCCACACCCGCCCAGCGGTCGGAAGAGACGAGTCTGAGAGCGGACCCCCTCACTGCACCCCGCTGCCACCACGCGAGGCCGCCTGCTTCTGCACATGCGCACTAGACAATGCGGGCCCCACCCGGCCCGGGGCAAGTCTTCTCCGTTAGGGGGAGCCCTTCGCTCCCGGCGTTCCTAGCGAGGCCACACCAGTGCGTATAGGACCCTTGGCATATCCCTGACCCCGGGCCCTGAATCCGCACCTGCAAGCTGATCTCTTCGCCAATTTACGCTTCTCGACCGCAAGATCATACTCTCGTGCGCCCGCTTGCGGCAGCAGCGACAGGCGACGCGCATCCCCGCCCGGCCTGGGCCGGCGTCTGCAGCACAGACTGGTCTTTCCCCAGCCCTGCGCTGCGTGCAGCGATGCGTCCCTGACAGCGCCTTCCCCTTCTGCCTTTCCTTCCTGACTGGGGTGGGTGTCTGTATTGCCCCGTCTTCTGCGACTTTGTCCTGGATGTCTTCTTCAGTGGCTTCCTCGTGGACTCCGGGGACACGGAGAATCCAGTCTTCGACGGAGCGTCGTGGTCCGGGTCCATCGCCCTCCTGCTCCTCGCCGTCGTGATCCTCACGCGCCCAGGCTGGGGACCCTTCTTCGGAGCCAAAGCCACGACCCTGCCGTTTGTTCGCTTTTTCTTTAGGCTCGCGAATGCTGTCGTCCCCATCCTCAGCCACGGCGACGTCCTTGCCCCCGGCCTCGTAGAGATCCGGCACGTCCGCCATCGTGCCTTCGTCCGAGCTCGCCTCTGTCCCGGGTGGCTGTTTCACATCTCCTTTCTTTATTCTATGGACACTGTTCTGTTTTTACTTCCTGTTATATATTGCGGTCAATGTCGAATGATTTTCCAATGAAGTGGCATGGAATTGTACAGATGAGCTGAAATTAAGTAGAATTGAATCGTTCAAATAAATCCAGTGGTTTCTAATGCAAAATATAGACAATACGTTCTTCTGTGTCTTCTTGTATCTTTTTGAAAATCCTACGCAACTATATTATATCTCACTCTATTTCTATGCTCTTAAATGACAGTGAAGCTCAACAGTCTGCAGATTAGAAAAGAACACGTTTGGGGGTAAAAGGACTTAGGGAAGCAGAGAATGCAGTGAGACCAGTGTGCGTTGCTGCCGGTCCCTCGCGTGTCAGCCCTTAGACTTTCCTGTTCGCTTCATTGTCATGTTGCAAACAAGCCACCTTTTACAATTGTCTGCCTGTAAGGATCAAAGAAAAGAAAGAGTCTATCTCAAACACTCCAAAGGTCCCTTTGGAGAAGCTAACTAGAAACTTGCAACTTTTTTTTTTTTTTTGTAAATTAGCAACTGGGAAAAATATTTTCAAGAATATCCCCAGCTCCCATTGCTGCTACCGGTGACAAGACAATTGCAGTCCTAAGGGGAGGTGAGCTCACACCATCACAAGCCCGTATCTCAGGGTCGGGCTGCCCCCTCTCACACAGGTTCTGTCCGCCTTGAACTTCGGGTGCTGAATCCCACCATCTAGGCAGCAGGAAGGAGCTGGGTAAATATTTTAAATTTCAGTCTGAGAGGCAGAGTCAGTAAGGAAGAGGGGAAATCAACAGTCTGGGTAACTGGTAATATTAGAAAAATGGATTTTTCTGGGTTTGAACCTGGTCCAGTGCCAAAGCCACACAGGAAGGGAGAATAACTTCTGAGGTAGGAGCTGAGCTAGTAAAGAGAGACGGGGTTCTACATCCTACGCAAATCTCTGATGATTCCTAACGTCATTTAGTGCAGCCCACAATGACAGTGATTGGTGCTTGATCCAAGTGGCCATGAAACCTGATCTTTAATGTGCTTAAGGATGGTAGTCCCGAGATCCGTCTGCTGTTCAGCCCGCTTTACAGGAATCATAGACTACGTGTGTAGGTTCACTAGATGTGCACCTGTAACACTGTCATGCTTGTCACCAACAGTGGAAGGAAGGTACATGGGCATCACAATGCTGTGCAGAAACAGTGTAGGCAAATGGCAGTGACTTAGATAGAAATGTTTCCTTTAGCTTTGGATGTATGATGCAATTAACAGAGACAGTAATTGTGTCTCTGTTGAAAACATCTCCGGTGGTTGATTATGGTCTGTTTTCCTCTTGGAGTTATGCAAACAGCATTTAAGAAAAAGATAACTTTGTAACTATGAGTTTCAGACAGCAGTGGTCAGGATGCAATGTATCTTGTGATATTTTCTCTACTTGTTTAAAATATTTTAATGTTATTACTATTATTATTTTTGAGCCGAGGTCTCACTCTGTCACCTAGGCTGGAGTGCACTGTCGGGATCATAGCTCGCTGCAACCTCCAACTCCCAGGCTCAAGTGATCCCCCCATCTCAGCCTCCCAAGTAGCTAGGACTACAGGTGCTTGCTACCATGCC